AAAATGCTATGGGGGGGCATGCACAGGTGGAAAAAAATATTTTAAACCAATAGCAACTTAAATTTGATTACAAATAAGAGTTATGGAAACAAATTCTACACTTTAACATCATCTTCATCATTTTTTGACTCTTTATATTTCAAATTGCGTTTTCTTATATCACCTATCCCTTAATCTAATTGTTGTAGTTATTATTGTGTTTAATACTTTAATATTAAATCTTCATACTTAATATGTATATGGCTTACCCACCAAATTATGGTATTTGTATATTCTGAATCTTTCTGTATTTTTTTGAGTTGGAGTCTCACTGTGTGATATGTTTCTTTTATCTTGTTTCTTTTAGCATTATCTTTGATTTTTGATAATTTGATTATGATTTGCCTTAATAACTCCTCTTTGGATTGAATTTGACTGGTGAATTCTGAGCTTTCTGTATCTCATTGCTGTAGTCTTTCTCCAAATTTGGATAATTTTCAGCCATTATTCCTTAAATATGCTTTCTAGGCATTTTTTGCTCTTACCTTTTTTGGGAACTTCTATTATGTGAAGGTTAGTTTTCTTGATAGTGTCCCATAATTTTTGTAGGTCTTCTTATCTTTTTTCTTTTTTTTTTTCTCTCTTATTGGCTAATTTTGTATGGTCTCTCTTCAATCTTGCTGATTCTTTCCTCTGTTTGTTCAGGTGTTCTGTTAAAGCATTCTAATGAGCTTTTTATTTCAGTTAATATAGTCTTTATTTATAAGTTTTTTATTGTTTCTGTTTTTTTTCCCCCCTAGTATCTCACTTTGTATCTGGACTGTTTTCTAAATTTTATTTAGTTTCAATTCATATTTTATTATGATTTTCTAAACTTATCTAAGAGGATTATTCTGAATTCCTTGTCAGACATTTTATAGATCTTCAATGCTTCTGAGCCCAATACTGGAGTGTTGCTGCTTTCTTTTGCTGGTGTCATAATTTTTAAAAAGTTTTTACAATTCTTGTGCTTTTGCTTTTATGGCTACACATTTGAAAATATGGCCATCTCTTCTAGCTTTTGCAGGTGTCCCTTGGTGGTGTTAAGCCTTTACTACTTGATGTAAAACTTAATTGCTGGCCCACTGGTACTTCTCATTCTGGATAGGATTTATAGTAAACCTTGAAATGAATGTGCCACACCAGAACTAACTTCTTGCCCTCATTTTGTTTTCTGGTCTGGGGAAGACTTATTGTGAACATAGGACTAGCACTGTACCAGAACTATATCACTGCCTTGTCAATGTGTTCTTGACTGAGAAAGATTTAAATGATCACTGGAACTTAATCACTTACCTTTTAGTTGTTTCCAAGTTGGGGAAGTTTTCACATAAACATCCGGTCTTTGTGGGAAATTCAGCTAGAGAAATTGGGTTCCCAGTGGATGGTATCCTAAAGAGACTAGCACAATAGTACCAGTTAGTCTCTTTAGTATGGCAGCTCCTCTGACTTCAGTGCAGAGTGATCACCAAGATCTACATGCCAAAAACTGCAAACAGTGCTCCTGTTTTTAATTCTTAATTCATGCTGTGTGGTTCAGCTTTTCTACCACTCTCTGGTTTCCATGGGGTGGGAGAAGAGTGACTTTCGCAAAAATTTTTAGACTTATGGGGTAATTGAAAGTCTACTTCCAATTTTCTCCTCTCTCTGGAGAAAATAGATCTAGATAAATTCTCTGTGAGTGGTATTTTGCCAGCTTAAAAGAGGAGTTCTAAAATAATCATTCCTCTTACCAGTCATGGCTTCTTTCAATTATTGGTCCAGGAGGTATCTCTCCTTCTTCCTTGCATTCTGTAAATTTAAAGTGGTATTCTTGACTTTGAATTGTTTCTAGTTGTACTTTTGTGTAGAGTGTGATGACAGGGCATCTTCTATTTTATTATCTAGCTGACATCTGAAGATTTATTATTATGAGAAAGGCAGACATGTACATTTTTGTTCAGTCGCTAACCACTTATATATTGAAGCAGAGACTTCCAAACCCTGATTTATGCCAGTCAGAAGTACAAGTAAAACAACCTGGGCTGGCAATTGGCACCTTGAAGTGGAGGCAGTCCTGTTGAATTGAGCCCTCAACATGTGTGATATAGCACTACCTCTAAGTAGATAGTATCAGAATTGTATTGAATCAGAGGGCAGAATCTCATGACCACTGAAGAACCGACTGAATGGATGTTGGTGATATTAAATAAAATTTGAAGGAGGTCATTGACTGAACTCTTGCACTAGGCCCAATAGACCAAGCCAAAATGGAGTCACTCGTGCTAAAGTTCCACATCACCAAGCCAAAACTTAGTTGTTTGTCTGATCTTCTGAGAAATTGGGAGGGGGCGGAAGAGAGAGAGCGCGACTGATCTTCTGAGAAATTGGGAGGGGGGGAAGAGAGAGAGCGCGAGAGAGTTTGTGTGTGTGTGCGTGTGTGTGTGCGTGTGTGTGTGTGTGTGTGTGTGAGAGAGAGAGAGAGAGAGAGACGGACAGAGACAGAAACAGAGAATAGGTAAATTTCCACACAGATCAGTTGTGGCTGACATGATAAGGAAGTCCTCTCTGCTTTAAACTTTACAAGGAAAGTAACTTTGCAACAACACATCTTCTTTTTGTTTTCTGTTTCTGCTTTCCTCAGCTCTTTTCAGTCAATAAACGATTTTCCTCTGCTTGGTTTATCAGAACACTCATTCTATTTTATATTCACTCACTCTATTTTAGGACTGCAAATAAAAGCCAATTAAGATATTTAAATATGCTGTAATTTTGTCTTTTGACAGTGAAGAGAAATCCCCATATACTTCTTGGTAACCAATGATCACAAAAGTCTTCTATGTTGATAGTTGAGTGAAAGAATAGAAAAATTACCTTGGTTTGTTCTCTACACTTTACAGAGACAAGTTGGAAAAGGGTAGTGTTCTGAAAGATGAGAACATTTAAAAAGAAATCAAGAGTGGTTGTAGCGTCACCTACTATGAAAAAGTCAAAAGGGATGCTGGCTGAATGTGTCCATTGAAGAAGTTTCTAGGAGGTTGTGGATGAAATTCAAGAGAAGTTTTTCTGTTTTGAGTGAGTATGGATCTGATTGTCATGTACTGGTTAGTAGGTGGGTGCTATGGAAATGGGCATTCTGCATAAAATTTATTTCATAAGTACATTGTTTCTAAAGTGAAGATGCATAGCATTAAAAAGAGAAAGAAAGAGTACTGGAAAATTGCTGATAATGTGAGAGAGGCTTAGCCATGGGTTTGAAGGGAAAAAGTGAGAGTGGGAAGCTGCAGATATGGGGAAGGGGAGCGTAACAGAGGACAGCCAGAGGCTTGGGGACATAGAGAGGAAGACTTATTCTCCTCTAAAGGCAAAGAGTTCCCATGCTGGAGTGGTGTTGACCTTCCCTCTCACCAAGCGGAGGGCTCTCTGGCAACAAGAGGCAGGCATTGCAACAATGCCTGGAGGGATCAGGTGAGGAGTGTTGTGATTCTCAACAGCATCTATATCTTTGGGGTGCACATGGTACGATGCCCTCATGGCTTATGGGAGGGTGTGTGGCACCCTGAGCTGCAGCAAGGGGAAGGTGTGAGTACTTCGTGACCTGGAGCACAGGGATGGGCAGGGATTGTTAATACAGGAAGGGAATCACAGCAATGTAGGCAAAAGAAAAGAGAAGGAAGAAGAAGCAAGCAATGGAAAGAGGTAAGTGTCACAAAGACAAGAAAAACACATGGAAGTGAAAAGTTTTAAAACATCGGTGCAGGTTTTGTGATAGTGTATAGGAACCCCAGAACTCTGATATCTGTGTATTCTAGAGGATATTGGAGTTAAAAGTCACCAAAATCCTGACATAAATGAAGCAAATCATGTGACCAGGCAAAGAGTGATATATCATACCAATGTGCCTTTGGGCTGTTCTATTTTTAAAGCAGGAGAATGTTGCTACTTACCAGTTTTGTGGTGCTGTGAGTTCCAGGGTAGTGCATAAATGTATAGCTTGCATATAATGCACTTGACAACTTTTAGCTTTGAAATGTAGTGAAAACCTCAGGAATCTGGAATTAGGTAGGCGGGAGGAAGAAGTCTTTTTACACATCATAAAAATTTAAGTTTTTTTCAAAGAAACCACTTTTACCTGTATAAGTATATCTTGAAGCAGTTGAAACTAGACTAGTAAAATTTGTCACTTCAAGGTTCAGGAACCTATTTCTATCAGTGATTAGGGTACAAAGATGGTTGTAAGTATATTTTTCTTTTAAATAGTGGAGGTGGGAGGGACTGCTAAAGTAGTTCCAAAAATGTTTGGAAGTGGTTTTCATTTTCAGTTGGTCAAGCAAGCATGTGCCATACACAATGTTATTTTCACTCATCTAGAAGTTGGTAGAATATGCACATAGCTGTCTGATCTCTTTAAAGCCATGGTTTGATCTCTTCAGAACCCCCTCCTCCCCACAGAGTAACACTCCCTCATTTTTTCTCTTGTCTAAAACATCTCTGTTAGGGATTTGTTGGGGCGCCTTGAAAATATTTCCACTGGAATTAATTCAGGACACTTAGTGCAAAATTCCTGGTGAAGTAGAGGAATGGGATGTTTTTAGGGAGAAAGAGGAAAAGGTCCTTTTGGATTAGAAGCCCTCCCCTCGTAAGGTGGATCTGGGTAGCAGCTTAAAATAGTAGCTCAGAGTAACAAGAGGCTGCGGCTTCTAAATAGCCATGTGGTCCCAATTTCTTACCACTTCCTTAACAAAAGTTTTCATTACAGTTAACACAAAACTCATACGTGCTGGTATCTGAGTTATGATCAGTTTCAAATTAATGTTTATGATAGCCTCAAGAACATATGTAAATCATCCCCCTTCCCAAATTACCAAAGACTTCTTCAGCAACACTGCTAAAAGACAAATGTTATATTTCATTCAAAATCTGTATACAGTCAGTTTGGTTGACTTGGACCAGTCAGTTCAAACCAACTAGTTAGTTCCAGATACAGACAGTCACACTAGCTGTTTATAGACATCTTTTTAATATTTTACTTTAAAACAATTAATCCCAGTAAAAGAGAGCCAAGGAAATGACACTTTAATGGTAGCTTGAAATGGATATGAGTTCCTGATTTATTTGTTTACAGGAAACAGACAATTGCATTGTCATACATGACTTTTAGAACTGCTCACTTAAATGCACATAATTATATTAAATTAAATATCTTTTACAAAAACACAACCATGTCGCTTAAGGCAAAAAAAAAAAAAAGAAAATCTGCTTCTGGGGAGATAGGTTAATATGTATAATATTTCCTTATTCAGATTGAATGAAGTAATCCATTAATTTAGTTGCCCAAATTTCATCCTTCCTTATAGTTTTGCGTTGCAAATGGGCATGAGAATTAGTCACTTTGTGCCTGATTTCCTCCTCTCTATTAGACGTGTTTTGCTTAAAATTTAAGAACTTTCAGAATCACTGAGTCAATGGGAGGTAAGAAAGGCACCTTGAAACAGGAGATAAGGACTTAAAAACTCAATAAAATGTCTTAAACAAAACTTGCAATCTACAGGTATTAATTTAGTTAAACAAAATGCAAACATTTAGATCAGACATAGCAACATTTCTTAGTTAACCTCATACAAGGGATGTTTGCAATTAACTATTAGCTTGATCCACCCTACATGTTGAAGAGGGCAGACGCACTTGAACTGAGAGAGCATGTGGCTACTCAGCGCTCAGCTAAATTGTGCTTCAAGACACCATTTAAGTTTGACCAAGGGGATTTCACTAAGTGTAAATGGGAGACCCCTCTCATTCCATAGAAAGTAACTCAGCAGCAGAGCCCTACAGTTTTCATACAATACAACTATCTTTTAACATCCAAAAATTTTTGTGCTAGAGTAAGGTACACACAAAATAGTCATGGCTTCAATGTATAAAAGTTTTCTACAACGTGATTCATCACATTTGGCTATAAGTAAGACTTAGTGATGTGTTTAAGCTTTGTTTCTGAGTCTTCAGTCTTCAGCAATGCTGGATGCACTGTACTGTGTTTAAAGCCTAATAGGGCCTAAGGAGGGGGTCTCTAATACATTCAGAATTCCTGCTGCCAGTGGGGTTCTACCCAGGACAGAGTATGTCCAAGAATCAGTGCTGCCTCCCTCCTCTTCCTCAGCTAGTACTTGGAGAAAGCCTGCCAAGTGTGTGGCAAGTGTCTGGCTTTAGGTCAGTGGGGTGTGTGTGTGTGTGTGTGTGTGTGTGTGTGTGTGTGTGTGTGTGATGCAGCATTCTGGGAGGGGGTATCACAACTTTAGCCTGAATGAAGACACAGGTAGGTGAAAAATTGCATGTAATAATTTAGTAACTTTCTATATTTGGAAAATGAAAATAGTTACTTTAAAAGATTGACAAAATCTTTTAAACTGGAGCGTAAATTTTAGACTGTCTTCTGTGTGCCTCCAGCAGCCAGGAGGATTCTGAATGATATACTCCAAGGGAATGTGTTAGAATACAAGCAGGATGAGAAGAAGAAGCTTTTAAAATTTTGGTGTTTATCAAAAGGGACAAGGATTTTAAAAGGGTGACTGGCACATTTTAGATAACGTGGATAATTGGTTCACTTAGGTATGGAGGCTGGTTAAATTCAGAAGAAAATAGTGGCAGGAAATCAATAAGGAGTTAGTGAAGAAGAAAAGCGGGTGAGTTAGTGATGGAGAAGCTTGTTGGGGGAGGATTGGGAAGGCTGGTGGAACTCAGGGCTCCTTCTTCCTTTGAATGTCCACTTGATGGACCTGCTCTTATGGTCTGGCTACTGGAGAAGTGTTTCTGGATGCAGCACGAATGTCTGTCAGAGAAAATATCTTCCTTTCTTGAGTCTTTCTGTGGTTAGTGTTTAATTGAGTTGAAATTCTATCTCTTATCTCCTTGTCTTTCGAATACCGTCACTTTGGCTAAAGTTCTGATGGTCTGAGATAGCGCCACTGGTTTCTATCAAGCAGTCAGCATTGCTTGAATTCTGATAAATACATTTGTATTTTGTTTTTCTTGGTCTTTTTGCTGCCGTAATATATTATTAAGTGCTTTGATTGCAGACCCTGCCAACCAGTGCTATCTAGTTTTTAGCTGTAAAGGTTTATACCAGGAAACCGAAAAAGTAAAAGTAATTTCATATTTGGGACAACATTCTTGGAGAGAATAGAAAATGTTCACTACAGTATAAAAAGTAAAGGAAATTTAGTTTTAGTTTTTTTTATATGCAAAATGTACACATAATAGCAAAAGACAATCAGGGCATATTAAAAAATAATTACCTTGCAAAATTCTCTGTTTATATATAAGAATAAGGGATGTTTAGGTAGCTGAATTCCCTAACAATATTCTTTCTCTAAAAATATCTCGTTTTGTTTTGTTTTTCTTTTTCTTCCTCTCATTGCCTTTTGAGGGGGAAGTCATCTTCATTAACTTTGCCTATTTCCTGGTGTTGTTTATGGAACCTTTTCAAGCTTTTCCTATTTCAGTCTGACTCAAATTCCCCATTCCCTGGGGTCTTACCTGTATACCAGCTATATGAGAATAGCTACTCACACTTGCCCTTTACAGGGCAGTTCTGGCAAGCCTGGGCTTGGTGCCATTGAGAGAGAACAGCTCAATCACATTGGCTGTCCTACAGATCAGCATTTCATATTCTTCCGTAGAAGTTGACCATTTGTAAGGTTGATCCTGCTATCAGGGAATATGTTTCTATAAAGTCCAATATGTCAAATAGTCAAGTCTATTTGCCCCACTGGTCCTGAATTCCATTATTTGCACATTTTCTAACTGAAGAACATTCTTGTCATAAAAAAATAAAAAATAATGTGCAAATTTGCTTGCACAGCACTAAATCGCCAAAAGCACACAAATTGACATTCAAATTACATTAATAATAAAATGACTGAATAGAAATGGTTTGGCAAATATATCTTGAAGTAAGCAGCCAATTCTATTATTCCCAAATTCTACTTTACTTGATAACTTGTTAGCAGCTGTTGGTAGCCATTGTGTTTAAATATACATGATGGCCTAATTTTGAAAACATATTTTGTATTTATTTAGTCACAAAGCAGAAATGCCTGAAATTTGAAGGTGTTGACTCCCATAATTTAAAAATAAAGCATCAGATCTTCTAAATGACCTTATCTTGACATGTTCATACACCCCAAAGCATTAGCTGTGTTTGGTTTCTCAGGCTTTTAAACTCAAGGTACATTACTAAATGAGTGGGTGAATGTTGATGCACCTTGGAAGTTCAGCCATCCCTAAACATGCATTTTCATGCAATTAAAAGAGAAAGGGCTTATAAACTGCCTTTCATGTTCTTCCTGATTCTTGTAATTTTAACTTTTTAGAAGGGCTTTCAAAATCGTTCATGCAATGATATGTATGGCTAAAGGAACTGCTATGCCTGGTAAGAAAACAAAGAACTTATTTCAGTTTGACATGAGGCAAGCTGAGGGCATCTGTACTTTCTGCTGCCTTACAAATGCTCTGAGATGATCGTGACCTTCCAGTCCTTAGAGAGTCTGACACAAAAGCAGCTTCCTTGGCAGGCTGTGGCACGGCATCAAAAGTGTCTGTCTCTGTCTCTTCGGCACCCACCTCCTCATCAGTTATAAACAATTTGGATTCCCTCCATTTGGGGTAAAAATCCTGGCTGCCTCTGGAGCCACTTGACTCGCTCCCTGAAAGCTGTATATTCAGTTCCTCAGTCGACCTGATCAAGTTTTGCACAGACAAAGATTTGCCCAAGTCCTTTGGTACCATGGGACAGACGGACAGCAGAGTTTCTCCTCCCATGTCAAAGCTTTTCCTTAGAGAACGGTCCTTGGTCAGGTTAGGCTGTGCAACCTGAACATTTTCCTTGGAGGCAACAAGGCAGGTGGTGACATCAGAAATGCTTTCCTGTAAGCCCGTGGGGTTTGGGTGCAGTGTTTCTGGCCTGGGCAGGTGCTTGATGGCTGGAAGAGGAGGCGGGATCTGTAAAGTTGTTGGGGCTGCTGGTTTAGGAGCCGTGTTTATTTGGTTTGCCGTGGTGTTGGTGGCCGTTACTGCGGAACCATCACTTTGAATCACTGGCACCTGTGTTGCTTGACTGTGCATAGTAGGGCTAAGCGCATAGAAAGTCTGAGCGCTGAACTCATTTGGCGTCAGAATGAACTGCAGACCTCTTGAGATGTTGGCACTAGCTGATCTGGTTAAGCAGCCACTGTTTTGTGCGGAACTAGACAGGTCTTTGCTGTCCACGGGGCTTTGATAGTCAGATGTCTGTTCACATTCAAAAGGTGGGATCTGGAATGAAGCTAAAGTGAGGGCAGAGGCAGAGCCCTTCCGGAGGACCTGTTGATAGATGTCTAGCAGGCAGTCCAGCTTGGACTCAATGGACTGTACCTAGAAGTGAGGAAAATGGTTACTCATGAGCATAACCTGTGATGAAGACTGAGCTTCATTTCTAGAATTGAAAAATAAAATCTCAGCATGCCAATACAGTTACAAAAATTGAGTATAAGTACAGTGCAGTCTTGATCCTCAGTGAATGCAGTGCCTAGCTGCAGGAGGCCAGGAGTCCAGGAGGCAGGGGAGGGTTTGGGGGTGAGGAATGCTTTGTTTTCTATAAATCTCCATTGGCACTTCTACCTCTCACTTCTGGACAATAAATACATGAATAAATTGAGGGAGCAATTTGATTTCTGAGAAATTATCTTTGTATGTGAAGATACAGCCTCAGGGTTAACAGTCACTATGTCATCAAAATTTTAATAAGCTTTTGTTTTATTTTGAAAAAGAGTAATCTAACAGAGAAACAATGAAAATAATCAAAACACAAATGAAAAATAGGTCTTTGTTATTTTACTACTGAAAATCTGCAGTTGCTTCCAGTTAAGTATTAATTGATGAGAAGAATATTCTATTCCTTATATGGCAATACAAAGATGTTTCAGAGACACTGTCTAGTCACAAAGAAAATTTAATTTCACTCTTTCTTAATTTTATTCTTTTAAAAATGTATTAGTCACTGCAATACATACAATTTCCTATACTCAGTTTTGAGTTTAAAAGTTCTGGCTAAGAAGTTCACCAGTGTAGACAAGTTGTACCTGTTTTTCAACCTTGACCACCCGGCCGAGCATACTGACATCGTCTGTGGTCTCATGTTCTGCCGTTATTTTTTCTCGGCTCTTCTTATCTGATGTGATTTGCCCTTTTCCAAGAATTTGATCAACTCTATTAGAGAAAAAGGAGATCTGATTATGAGTGCTGAAGATGGAGATTACTCTGGGCCAAAATGAGATTTTTTAAAAACGAAGTACAATTATCCTTAATTTACGTAAGATGAAATAAGAACGAACTTGTTCTAGTTGATGTGCTTATTTTGTTAACATGACATTATACATGAGATCAATTTTCTCATTATTCTTGTCCAAGATGAAATCACCTATGAGTAATCTTCTGGAGGAAAAACTGTTCTAAACTACAAAGTAATTTGTTTCCACCTCTGACCAGGCAGTTCCCAAATTTAATCACTTCACAATATGATAAACTCATAATTATGATTATTTTGCATCAATTGAACAGATTATAAATGAGCATTTATTGTACATCTGATATGTGGTTGATAAGCAAGTAAGAAGGCTATGATCTTTTTCTTTTGGAATTTGAGTTGGAGAACCCAAAATTAGTTCCATAAGTTCTATAGCACTTCAACTTTATAAAAATCTGGGAGCCATAGATAGTTCTCTTAAAACACTTGGATGAACATGGTAGAGATAGTAACATGACCACAGGATGATTTCAAGCAATTCCCAGGGAGACTTGATCAGTCTAAATGAGAAGCACTTTGTGTGTACATGTGTCTTTCAGAATTGAATTGTCAGGGGTATTGACTCAAATTTCCAGTCGGCTTTGTCTCCATAGAAACATAGGCAGTGCCTACTTTATGTCATGATATAAATCTATTGAACTGCAAGCTCTACAAAGACTGGGTCATTGTTTTATCAATTTCCGGATGTCCAAATTTCTTGGCACACATAATGAGCTCAATAATTATCTGTTGAATGAATGAACAAATTGAGATTTCTACAACTGATGAACAGGTGTTTTACTAAGGGTCTAGCATATGCTTCATGCTGGCTGTGTGCTACACAGATATAAAAAATATTTCAGACTCAATCTTTGTCTTTTAATAACCATTCATCATAAATGCTGGTAAGTTGTGCCGATAATGAAGCAATACTCTTAAAAAACAGAATTGACTACATATTTTGGGTCTAAGATAATCCAATCAACTACATGTGGTTGAAATTAACATATTTAACTAATTTAGTTCAATTGCTCAATAAAATGCTCCTGGAGGAGCATTGTATATCTAGAACTCTACAGGAAACAAAGAAAATGAAGGAAAGGGCCTAGTTTTAGTCAAGAGCAAGGAGAACACAGATATTCACAAGGAAAAAAATACAGGGGCCAAGTCTCAACTCTGGTCCAGCACATCAAGGTTCTGAGTGCTCTTATGCTCAGTACACTCCAAACGTAATAGGTCAGAGAAGATAAAGATCTGTCTTCATGGGCTGGATAGTTAGGTACAATTTAATGAAGGAGAAAGACTAGCTTATTCCTGAAGGATGGTTAGAATTTAGATAATAACAAAACAGCAACAGTACTAGCAGCAGGAATTCAAACATCAGCAATTCAGACATCACCATTAGCTTTCATTGAGCACTTGGTGCCACGCCTGTCACATATTACAAGTTGCATGCAGTAACTCATTCAATTCTCATATCAACCCTATGTGGCGTGAGATAACATTCTCTCCACTTTTTCAGATGAGGAAATCGAGACAGCTGGATGCCATCATTACCTGATTTACATCTATGCTAAAAGCAAAATAAAAGCAGTGTTAAAAGCAAATGTCCAGCTGGGCTCGGTGATTCAACCTGTAATCCCAGCACTTTGGGAGGTGGAGAGGAGTGGAATGTCTGAGTCCATAGGTTCGAGACCAGCCCGGGCAACTTGGCGAGACCTCATCTCTACAATAAATAAAAAATTAGTTGGGCATGGTAGCACACGCCTGTAGTTCCGGCTACTTGGAAGACTGAGGTGGAAGGTTCGCCAGAGCCCAGCAGGTTGATGCTGGGGTGGCCGTGAGCATGTGTGCTGCTGCATTCCAGCCTGGGAGACCGAATGGAACTCCAACGCCAAAAAAAAAGCAAATGTCCATTTGCCCACTACACAGGAATTAAAAATATGAAATTCAGAGGTTTTCGCTACTCAAAATAAATTTCCTCTGGATAGCTTCTATGCCTATTCTTTTTACAATAAAAAACATTTTCATTGCTTACCGTGTTTGAAGACTTTTAATTCTACACAACATGTCCAGATGACCAGCGGAATATTGCTCAATGACATCTTTTACATCATACGGGCGTAAAGTTTCTTTAAACTTCCGTTTTGCAACATGAAATTTCATAATTCTGTAACATATTACATATTAATATTTATAACCTTGCTTAAAAAAGTCACCAAAATAGTTCTCTAATATAAGAAACTATGAGGGGAAGAAGTCATACATCAAATTATTTTTGACTTCTGCAGAAATGTAATGTAAAAGCCTGATGTTACAGTGAACAATTTAAGATGATCTCATATGAGACACATCTTAGGAGTTAAAGACTAAACACTAAGCGTTGTGCCTTTTTAATATCCATTAAAATCCTGAATTAAAGTCAAAGTTAAAATGCAATTCTAACTTTTCCATGTGATCTCCAGAAGTCCAGGATATAACACCTAGTGATAGCATCCCTTAAAAAAATATAGAGGTTGTTAACACGGTCTTTTATTTAACCACATGCATTTTTGAGATACTAGTGTATTTGCTGAATTCTCTTATTTTCTCTAGAAAAATATGCACTAATATGAAAATTTGTGAATTTTTGTCGTAATTTATTTCTGCAGAATGCTGCTGGATTAGTTAGCCAAGTTCTTTTTGTTTTAAACATAACACATTTCCTAACTAACCTTGGGCGCCTAAGTTTTTCAGAACTAGACATTTCTTATTACAGTGCATCCCCCCACGTGGAGCCCATATTATAAAAACAACACCTTATCAATAAATTCCACGAAGGCATCAGTAGCTGATCTGCCTAAGATAAACCAGTTCCTGCAATAACTTGATAAGATTCCTCATGAAAGCAAAGAAACACAACATTTTAATTAGCTTGTGCAGCCTTATTCAGGTAAATGTTAAACCTGTTGGTGTTTTTCAACTATTTTTTTTTTTTTTTGAGTTGGAGTCTCACTCTGTCGCCCAGACTGGAGTGCAGTGGCCGCTTCCGTCCACTGCAGCATCGCCTGCTGTGCTCCCGCGATCCTTCCGCCTCAGCCTTCCGAGTAGCTGGAATTACAGGCGTGCACTATCGTGCCCGGCTCATTTTGATTTATTGTAGAGATGAGGTCTCATTGCCCAGGCGGGTCTCGAACCCGCGGGCTCAGACAATCCACTCACCTCAGCCTCCCAAAGGCGTGGGATTACAGGCTGAGCCACCGAGCCCGGCATTTTTCAACTATTAAGTGGCTCATAGACTCCCATTATCACACTCATAGATCCCAGGCAGGGAATTAGTTCCTTCTTTCCCATGATGATAGAGGAAGGCAAGCTTCTGTATAAGTCAATGTGTTCCCACTGGCTATAGCTGAAATGTTGGCCTGTGGCATGTCTGCCAAGAGGCGAACCCACATACCCTAATGCGGACCCTGATGGGGACCCTAGTGGGGACCTATCCTTGTTGCTTGGTAGGATGTTGTGTGAGCTTTCCCTGATAATTAATTTAAAGTGACTTGCTGCGTTTCTTCCTTTCAGAGGTGTTTCCACAGAAGATACACTTGGATAGATAATACAGCACATCTGACCTTCATGCAGTCTTATTTTTGCAGATCTTGAGTAATTTCACTTTTACATACAACATTTACTATTTATGAGGTAGCCAAACTAAGTTAAAATTTAAATCCATGGCTTAGAATTTTGATCAGTATTAAAAAGGAAACTCATCATCCTTTGTGTTAGTCCAGTACAGTCATGTAATGATAGGTATGCAAAGTAGAAGAGATTTAAAAACTCTTAATAGGCTTACCACTTACTTTTACACATCCTTCCACTCGGGTGGTATTGCTTTATCTCTAGTGCTTTATGTACAGATTTTCCCACTTTATGTATCAGAATTAAGCAGTGAGAATTTGATTAATAAATATCATTTCAGTTATTTGGAAAAGAGGAGGATGTGTAGTGGTGGTTGAACTGGCTTGTATCGACTCCCAAGAGTAGACTGCTGAACTGTTAAGAATTTTGCTGGTTGTTAAACACAGCTATTATTAAAAATGAACTTATATAAACTTGCAATAAAATAAATTACATTAAAACAAAGATAATACTTACTCAAAACTCACCATTTCCTAATTATTTTTACCATATGCCACTCTCTATGCTCTTGAGTTACTCACATCTATTGTATCCGTCCAGTGGAAATACTATCTAATGATGTGACATCGCACATGGCTTCTCAACTCCTTGCTCAGTAATGTCACATTGGTAGGGGTGCTTACACCACGAAAATTGGCAAACACTACAAATCAGGGCTTTTCTCTCCCGGAAAACTGGTTGTGAAGTATTTACCAGTACGTTACAGAGGATATAAAACAATCTTAGTTATTAAGGATTAAGTTTTCTAAGATGGAGATCAACTATATTTCCGCAACTGGCTGTGATGTAGGTCGAAAGCAAAAAACATTAAAGGGGGTTGAGGAGAGATACAAAATTTCTAAATCAGGGACTGTGTTTTGTAGATGTGAAGGGAATGTTTAAAAGCATAGGCATTTTTGAAGTAAAAAAGTTATGTAAAGAATGATGGACCAGTTATTTTACTTTTGCTAAGACCACGCATGTCCTAACAGCTCTCAAAGCAGTCCCTTCCTTTCCATCTCCACTGCATCAGCTTTAGAGAGAACTAACTTTTCAACGTACAAATAAGACACTATTACCCCCCTCCCAAAATCCTTCATATGTTTTTCATGGCCTATAGGATAAACATCAAATTTCATTAAATTTCTTGTTAAACTTGGCAAGATTGGAAGTGAAATCAGGGACATGTTAGTCCAAGTTCATGGGGATAACGCCATGAAGAAATCAGCAGTGTACAAGTGGATTAAACGTTTTTTCTGATGGAAGAGAAAGTGTCACTAACAAGGAGAGCTCAGGACAGCCGGTAACAAGCAGAGCTGATGAAAACATTGCAAAAATTCCTTAGAGGCACATCCTGTAAGATTGTTTGTGGTCTGGCCTTTGTCACCTCTCTTGCCTCAGCGCATTCCACATTTTCATTGGTACTTTGTGTTTCAGCAACAAGAGAACATGTGCGGGTCTACAAAACCACCAGTTAATCAGTTATATACCTCAATTATTAGCACATGCAATTTCTTCTTCCTGAAATCCTACTTATGTCTTCAAGACTCAGCTCTAAACAGTTAACCAATTTCTATTAACCTCTAGTTTAGTACCTGACACACTATGCTATAATTATTTGCTTATAGACTAGCTTTATCCACCAGATTCTGTGAGGCCTTGAACGCAGGGATTACGTGGTCTGACAATTAAGTTTGCAAATTTTCCACCGTGCACTTAGATTGGCAGCATCGTACAAACAACTTGGTAATGTTTCATAGCCTGTGTTCATGTCGATGTGTGGTGGTATCTTGCTGAGTGATGTTCATTATTGTCATTGCATGTTTTTATGCGCCGTTGTGAGAATGTCGGAGTTTGAATTAGAGCAATGAATCAACATTCAATTTCTTGTTAAACTTGGCAAGAGTGGAAGTGAAATCAGGGACATGTTAGTCCAAGTTCATGGGGACAATGCCATGAAGTAAATGGCAGTGTACAAACAGATGAAACATTTTTTTCTGAGGGGAGAGAGAGTTATTAATGAAGAGAGGTCAGGACAGCCAGTAACAACCAGAGGTGATGAAAACATTGCAAAAGGTCATTAGATTAAGCATCAAAATTGTCGGTTGACTGTGAAAAGTATAGCAGACCATATCAACACTGACAGAGAAACAGTTAGGAAAATCTTAACTGAAAATCTTGGCATGAAAAAGGTGTGCACAAAAATGGTCCTGAAGGAGCTCTTGCATCACAACAATGCACCAGCTCCCACAGCACTGTCTGTGAGGGAGTTTTTAGCTAGTAAACAAATAATTGTATTGGAACATCCTCCGTATCACCTGGTCTGTCCCCCAGTGAGTATTTCTTTACCCAAAGATAAAGGAAATATTGAAAGGAAGACATTTTGATAACATTCAGGACATCGAGGGTCATATGACAACAACTCGGACGGCCGTCCCAGAAAATGTTCCAAAATTGCTTTGACAGGTAGACTAGGTGCTGGCATCAGTGCATAGCTTCCCAGTGGGAGTACTTTGAAAGTGACTGTAGTGATATCCAGCAATGAGGCACGTAGCTCTTTTTCCAGGATGATTTGCGAATTTAATTGTCAGATCTTGTATGTCTTCTACTCTTGCTATCTCAACTTGGACAGAGTTTAATGAACAGGGGAGGTCTGATTATTTAGAAGGCTCTACGGAGGAGACAGGTGGGCAGCTCTTGAGGGAGGAGCACAGTGGATGTGGAGAGAGCCTGTCCTTTGTTCTCCAAAAGCTCATTCATTAAGATTCTGTCTCTTTGCACTCTACCTAAAATGCAAATGGTTCCAGATTCAGCTTAAGCATGGACTTCTCTAGGAACTCTTTCCTGACTACCCCCACTGGGGTAGATGGTCTTTCTCTGTGCTTTCAAAAGAACTATCTTACAGTTAGATGTATGGCGGCATATCTCAGGGACTGCGTTTGTTGATGTCAGGGGCTGTGTTTTTATTTTGGCATCCCGCATAATCCCTGGCAAGTATTAAGGATTCAGTCAATGCTAACAGAATCAATAAAGGAGGGTTTGCTATTCCACAGTTGTTCAAAGTTATTTGTGTGCTGTGGCGAGGCTGACTCTTGTCCAGATCTTCTAAAAATAATGCCTTAGAATAGATTGAAGTTCTTTAGGCGTATTTCAGAGACAGCATAAGCCTCTGTATCTCCTGCATAAATACAAAAAAGACTCTCCAAAGTAAAATAAATGTTCATTCATTTAATAGGGCCATGTCTGACTCAGAAAAAAAAAAAAAAACAAACAACCATTGAAATAAAACTGCTTTTGAAAATCATGAAAACATAATATTATTTTCCCTTAGATTGCTAATGTAATTAGGATAACACAAAGCACCTGGATTGCAAACAATAAGATATCATTATGAGGTAGTAAGAAGGGCAAAAACATCGAGAGTCAAGGAATAGGCGATACTATAGCATGGTAAGAAGCAAATGTAAAGAGAGACTCCTAGCAGAACAAAACTGTTCTGGGAAAAGAGAGGGAAAAGTC